TATCTATATGCATCTACCTATCTATATACCGATACACACATACATACATACATACATACATACATACATACATAAATACATACATACAGACAGACATACATACATACATACATACACACACACATACAGTAATTTACAGCGGCTGCCGCTGCCGCTCACGGACGCTGCGTGCCTCCCTGACGTGGAGGCCGATGCAAGTTTTGGAGTGACAGTGTTGGAATTGGTTGTAGCTATTGTAGACATGATTCTGTTGTAGGGAATTGTAGGGATTTGCAAAGCAAGTTCATCGACCTACCCGTTTGCGTCCATGCAATTTGCGGTGGTGGGAGTAGGCTGTTTCGGCACTGGTGTTCGGTGTGAGCTTCTTTCCCGCGGCCTTGTGCAGGCGACGTGAAGACGGATTTGCCGACACTCCTGAGGTCCGATCCCTGGCACCGCACACGCGTTGCAATGGCCGGCATTCACACCGCCAAGGTCTGCAAAAAGTGCGCCGCCCCAGCCAGATTCGCGAGTTGCAAGCTGCAGACGTTTGCATGGAGCTCACATGTGGAAGTGCATGTGCAAACACTTCTCCATGTACACGCACGTTTCCGCATATTCCTGCCTGCATGATGGGGGGCGTGCTCAGTTTATCATTTCATTCATTCATTCGTTCGTTCGTTCATTCATTCACTCACTCACTCACTCACTCAGTCCTTCTTTCCTTCCTTCCTTCCTTCCTTCCTTCATTCATTTATTCATTCATTAACTCGTTATTTCTGTCTTTCTTACTTACTTTCTTACTTTCTTTCTTTATTTCCTTATTTCTTTCTTTCTTTCTTTTTTATTTCTTTTGTTCGTTATTTCTATCTATCTTTCTTGTTTTTTCTTTCTTTCGTTATTGCCTTCTTTCTTTCGTTCTATCTATCTATCTGTCTGTCTATCTATCTGTCGTTCTTTCTATTTGTCCTTCTTTCGTTATTGCCTTCTCTCCTTCGTTCTATCTATCTATGTATCTTTCTTTCTTTCGTGATTGCCTTCTTTCTTTCGTTCTTTCTTTCTTTCTATCTTTCTTTCTGTCTATCTTCATTTCTGTCTTTCTTTCTTTTCGATTGTCCTTCCCTTTCCTTTCCTGTCCTTTTCGTTCCTTTCCTGTGCTTTTGTGCATGTCTGTTCTATTCTTTTGTTTTCTTTCCTCACTCTCTGTATCTCTGTCTCTTTATCTATCTGTCTGTCTGTCCTTCTGTCTGTCTGTC